TTTTTTTTTTTTGTCTCAGCTCTGGAGTTTTTGAGATCGCTGAAGCCAGTGGTGTTCAGCAGGGAACAAAAATTGTACTGCACCTCAAAGAGGATTGCAAAGAGTTTTCTTCTGAGGACAGAGTTAAAGGTGAAAGTGGCTTAATTAGATGCATCTTAGCTGTGTGACAAAACAACAACGCTTCTGTTCACTGAATGACAATCAGTAATTGTGTTTCAGAGGTTGTAACAAAGTACAGCAACTTTGTCAGCTTCCCCATCTTCCTGAATGGTCGGAGGCTCAACACTCTTCAGGTGAGCTCGTGTTATTCTGTTGATCTCTTTGATTTGATCAAACATAAAAAATATATATGTGTGTGTGTTTTTATACACACACACACAAATCGAGTATTGTTGAACAGTACAAAAGTCTAACTTTTGGCAGGTTTTCAGCTTGAACGATGCATCATTCTTCCTGTTCTCTTCCTCCAGGCCTTGTGGATGATGGATCCTAAGGAGATCAGTGACTGGCAGCATGAAGAGTTTTATCGTTACATCGCTCAGGCCTACGACAAGCCCCGCTACACGCTGCACTACCGTGCTGACGCCCCTCTCAACATCCGAAGCATCTTTTATGTGCCTGAGTCGGTAGGGTTTGTTTGTGGTGCCTGGTGATGTTCAGGTTATTTAAATGTCATTTTACAGAACAGCTCTTTGAATAATGTGAACCTAAAGAAGGAATGACTCCATGTTCTATTTGATTCAGGATCTGTGTGATAAATAAACAGTTGTTTTTAATGATCATTCGACGTGTGCATTGTTGTGAACAGAAGCCGGACATGTTTGACATGAGCAGGGAGATGGGCTCRAGTGTGGCTCTGTACAGCAGGAAAGTCCTGATACAAACCAAAGCCACTGACATCCTGCCCAAGTGGCTGCGCTTCCTGAAAGGTGCACATCCTTCCAAATGCTTTCAGCAGCTGCTGGTTTTCATTTCACCTTCTTTCAAAATCCAAGATTGTAAGCTTAACATTGTTTACATACAGGTGTTGTGGACAGTGAAGATATCCCTTTGAACCTGAGCAGAGAATTGCTACAAGAAAGTGCCCTCATCAGGTAGTGCTTGTTTTTATATGAAAGACTTTTTATCATTAAGTAGACGTGTACCCACTATGATTAGTCTCACAGTTTGGTCCTGCAGTAATAAACATTCAATCTCTTGTGTGATCCTCTTGGTTCAGGAAGCTTCGTGATGTTCTGCAGCAGAGAGTGATCCGCTTCCTGCTGGAGCAGAGCAGGAAGGAGCCCGAGAAGTACAGCAAGTTCTTTGAGGATTACGGCCTCTTCGTCAGGGAGGGGATCATTACCGTCCAGGAACAAGACGTGAAGGTGCCTGCTTTGCTTTTTTAGAAGTTTACCTTCATCATGTGACTGTGTCTTTATGAAGACATGTCCAGCATCACTCTCTCCTCCTGCTCTGTAGGAGGACATTGGAAAGCTGCTGAGGTTCGAGTCGTCAGCTCTGCCGGCCGGTCAGCAGACCAACCTGATTGAGTACGGTTCTCGCATGAAGGCCGGCACGCGCAACATCTACTACCTGTGCGCTCCTAACAGACACCTGGCAGAGCACTCCCCGTACTACGAGGCCATGAAGAAGAAGGACATGGAGGTAGTCAATGTGGTCAATTCAGTATTTTGAGCAGAACAAGAACTTTTAATTTAAATATATTTGTAAGTAAAATGTGAGCATCTCTGTTCAGGTCCTGTTCTGCTACGAGCAGTTTGACGAGCTCACCCTGCTCCACCTCAGGGAGTTCGACAAGAAGAAGCTGATCTCAGTGGAGACCGACATCGTGGTGGATCACTACAAGGAGGAGAAGTTTGAGGACGCCAAGCCAGGTGTGGCCCCTCCCCTTCAGTTAGAATGAAGCCCCCCTCACTGTCACAGCTGTAATCTGGACTTCTCTCTGCTGCAGCATCGGAGCGTCTGACGCAGGAGCAGGCGGATGACCTGATCGCCTGGATGAAGAACGTTTTAGGGCCGAGAGTCTCCAACGTAAAGGTAGACGGACTGATGAACGGAGTTAAACCAAGGATATGTTTGGATCAGAGATGATTTTTACCCTGTGAAACCATAAAAATTCACCTTTATTTGTCATGAGCTAGCTGAAGATGCTACAAGAAGTTAGCATCAGAAATGCTAAGTGCTAATAGATCTGAAAATGAACGTCATCAGAAATTTAGTTATTTTCAATGTTGAAGCTTAATTACTAGATACTAACATGCAACTTAATTTGTATTGAATTGTTGAACTCCATCTAAAAACACCAAATCTGAGTTTTTGCACACATTTGACCCTCAGCTGACTCCTCGTCTGGACACCCATCCTGCGATGATAACTGTGCTGGAAATGGGCGCAGCACGGCACTTCCTGCGCACCCAGCAGCTGTCCCGCTCTGCTGAGGAGAGAGCTCAGATCCTGCAGCCCACGCTGGAGATCAACGCAGGGTGAGATTCACCACATGTAATGAGAGGTTAAAAAGGATGTAAAACAGCTGATGTGTTCATTTTCAACTATTCCTCCATGTGTTTAGACACGATCTGGTCAAGAAGATGTACGAGCTGAAGGACACAAACTCTGAATTAGCTGGACTGTTACTGGACCAGGTACTTATATGGATAACTCTTTTCTGTCTGCTAATCAAGCTAGTGCTCATGTAGGTTTCATTTTTCTTTTTGCTTTTCAGATTTATGACAACGCCATGATCACTGCAGGACTGAACGATGATCCTCGACCGATGATTTCCCGCCTAAATGATCTCCTGACTAAAGCTTTGGAGAAGCACTGATTGCTTCATGCAGACTGGTTTAAGGTTAGCAGGGACCTGTCGACGGAAGCTGCAGGTCCTTTTTCCACACCAAGAGGAGCACTTCACTCCTGCTGAGGTAGTGCACGGCTGGATTAAAACAGGAAATAATGGAATGACAATGAGCTGCTGTACGCTTCTCCATCCACACAGTTCATCTTTCTGTTGTCTTTTTAAGTTTGCAGCCTTTTTTCAGTGACTTTTTCCTTCCAGTCCTACCTGGACATGTGAGAATAACTTGATCTAAACTTATCTAAAACATTTTAGACTATAGTTACTGGGAGCTAAACATGTTTTAAATGTGGACAGTTGTCACTCCAACCTGGATACTAGTAAACTTATTAAAGAAAACACCAGATGTAGCCAGAARAAAACATTTTTTTTACTGCTTTTCCAAAGTTTGTCTGTTTTGAAGATCAAAACAAGAAACTTCCACTTAAAGACATCCGTCCTTTGACTGCATCGAGCTGATATTTTCTTTAGTGAAGCACAGATATAAGGCCATGAGTTCCAGCTTCCCAGCACTGTCAGTCCATTCAAAGCACATCGGGGCGAACTGAGCCATCAGCCCTACAGCTCAGGCTACATTTCCCTTTGTGAGCCATCCTCAATGCCTCATCTTCTGACCGGTGGAACGCATCAGATGTGCTTCAAAGTGTCAGGAAAGCTTGTCTATGTTGGCTAAGAAGCGCTGAGCCCACCATTCATCCAGATCTATGGGAATGAAGCCTGAGGAGGAAGAGGATGTAAGGTCAAAAATAAAGAAGTGCTGACATGTTTGTGTCTGATTATTGTACCCTAGGGGGAAAAAAATGAAACTAGATATGACTGAATATAAAACATTTAATATTTCACTTATAATTTGTACACAATATACCAATAATAATAAGACTAGCAAGATTTTAGCAAAAATGTGACAAAAGAGCAATTTACTCCCCTCTAGTGGTCACGTGAATGAACTGCAACACTACAAGATGAAATTGATAAAATAGCTTTAGCTTGATAAGTTTTTTTACTCTGTTTTGAAAGTGAAGAAATTAGGAAGCATCATTAAACAAAGCATCATTAAACAAACAGCTTCTCTTTAGTGTTGACGTTTTCAACGTTCAAGTTCAAATAATTTTCAGTTCAATCATTTTGATTTTCTGATAAAGACCAGTGATTACTGCAACACCAAACCTGTCATTTTAGATCAAAGTTCGACTACTTGTTAAATTTTAAATAGTAAATATACAATTAAATTTAGAGATGGTCACACTTTAAATACATTGTGAATTAAAAAAAAAAAAAGTATATTAAAAACATGTTGACCAGTCTTGCATAAAGTTTTACATATATTTTGGATACATCAAAAAACTACAACTCAAAGTTCAACATAAGAAAAACTGCTCTACCTTTGTATGCTAGAAAACTTATTTTTTAACATTAAAAATAGGCATTTCAAAAGTTTTAAAAAGCTTTAATAAACATTAGCGATGTTACAAATGTTTCTACTAATGAGTAACTTTTCTGTTTGGTCATTTGTAGCTCCAGAGAATTGGTGCCATCACTGCCCTCTAGCGGTCACATTTAAAAAACTGCAACTTGATTGTATAAAGTTAGCTGACAGACATATGTAAACTACTTCCGTTAATTACTTTCAAAATAAAAAAGACAAATGTAAACTACTTCCGTTAATTACTTTCAAAATAAAAAAAGCCAGATTACGCAATCCGAAATCGTAATTACAACGGGTTTTTAATCACTACAGTTATGTAAAAGGACATTTATTTACAATATTTTTTCTGGATAAAAAATTTAAAATAAATACAGTTTTGTAAAGTTACTCAGAAAAAAACAAAACAAAACAAGCAAACAAAAAAAAAATACTGGAGGTAGAAAAAAACCAATTTATGTATTTATATATACATATACATAGTAAAGAAATTTAAAATGCTTTGAATTTTTAACTTTTTAATGAGATTGTCAATGAAACCATATATAAATACAAAGCCTTTATTATACATATGAATTAAATGGTACGAATTCCTGAGAAGCACTCAAGGCGTTTTGTCTATGGAGGCACTTGTAATCACTGCCATCTAGCGGTCACATTGTAAAATCGCAACTTTTATTATGTAAAGTTAACTTAGTCTAGCATTTATCTACTTCCGTTTCCTACTTTCAAAACAAAGCTACATCGCAACATACAAACATTTAAAACGTATTTAAGTCAGTACAGTACCATGTAAAATGATTTTTAAAATCCTTTTTATTATGGGTAATATACAATCCCAATGTAATTATGTTAATACTAAATATGCTACTGGACATAATAAATTACAAATATTTCATGTTTCCTTCTGTCTTTGAACCACTGTATTTTAAAATATCAGATGCTACAAATTTTGTATACTTATTTCTATTTTCCACTGTATTTATTGATTATGCATAACAAAAGTTTTAGTTAAAAGTATATATATATTTTAGTTACAATAAGTTTAATTCTTACAGAAAATAACAGCGTTATACTGCCCTCTTGTGGCCATATTAAACAATACAGCTGCAACCAGATTTAGCTCTCGCTTTTTTTTTTTTTTTGTTGCTCGATATAAAAATAATTTTAACTGCATTTTATTTTACCAGCTCAACACATAAGTATAATGTTTCTTACGTTAACTTTATCATACAATGCTCACTGACAGTGTGGAAGTTTTCTGGTGAGATAATTTTATCCCTCTGTTATTGAACAGACATAAACAGACGTTAGCAAGCATGCTAGCACTTTCTTGCAGTCTCTATAAGACTTTAAAAGCTTGAAAACAAACCAAACAAAGACATTAAAATGCTTTTAAAATTAGTCTGTTAATGCCAACATTGTCAGTGAAGTGGTACAAATTCTTGGCAATCTCTAGTAGACTTAATAAATACATATAACCATAAAACTCTTGTAATTTGTGCCCTCTGGTGGTCAAAGTTGGGAATTGCAACTTTAAATTGTCATGTTAACGTTGACCAAATTAACCGTTTCRGTTTATTACTTTCAAAATAAAATTACAATAACTTAAAAATAGTTATTCTAATTAGAAATAGATTAAAAACGATATCTTTCGTACACAATTATATTACTGCTTTTTGAAATTAGACATTTCTATCCATTACTGTAAAAGGTCAAAAGCAGGTAATAAAATCTTTGCCTGTGTGTGTGTTCAGCTAATGTTAATCATAATTCTGTTAATTGTACAGGTTTTGCACTATAATTGGGTAGAGTGGTAGCTGAGAGCCATTCACAACACATACTTTGACTGTGACATCCTGCAGTTTCACAAGAGATTTGTTCCTAACATTATTTTTAATGTTTGACCAAAACGATTACAAAGTTCAATTTTCAACAGAAGATAATCTTAGATTAAAAATCTGGCGTGAGAGGCTGTGAGCAAAATGCATTTCTCCAACAGAGTCTATGCCTGACATTGAATTCAGTTTAAGACATATCCACACAAAAGGTTTCTGTTGCACACACAGATTTAATTAAGCAGATTTTGCAGATCCCAAATCTGTGGCTACAACAGATTTGCAGAAATCGACAACTGTGGCAGTTTTTTTTCTCCCAACATAATCCCACTTTAAATACTGCATAAAACTTAAACCCTAGCAGAACAAGTAGAAGAACCAGTGGTACTCACTGTCCATGTGTGATCCAGGAGTGGTCTCTTTGTAGTAAACTGCTCTCTGGGGTGTCTGCAGTCTCTGACCCGTCCCTTCTTCCTGATCAGTCACTTCATGCCAGGCTGAAAACCATAATTTAATCACCAAAGCTGTCATTTACACAAAATAAGTAAAAAACAACAACATAGACAGTTTTATGTAGCACACCTAAAATATCAAAGTAATAAAATCCTGCAGGGCAGCTGCCTCTTCTGACAAATGTTTGGATTTTGAAAGATTCAGAAATATATTTCATTTGATCTCTGACCTTCCATTTTTAGAGCCCTCATTTGGTTAAGTTTTAAAATGTACTCAACTATTGGTGAATYTAAAACAGGACATGATTATAAAAAACAAACAAACAACTGGTTCTATTTCGTGCCCTTGTTCACTCAGATACAAGGTGACTGAGGTTGTTTATGAGCTGCTCTGGCTGAGCGTCAATGCCAACAACCAACAGGACACAGAAAGTAAAAACAAGCAAGACAAGCGAGGTCTCCTGGAGACAGAGTGTTTCTGTGAATGTTAAAAACAACTGAAGCGCTTCAAAACTAGGTCACTGTTCGGACCAAAGTAAAAATGTGGGCAGAGTCTCTTCTTGTCTCCGAGATGRTGCTGGGTTTAAATCGAAGCCCAAAAAGCTTTTCTTCCTTGAGCACACGTGGCAGCGCAGGCCAGCGTTATTCAACTTGTGTTGAAGTGGGCCTTCAGGCTTCAGGTGATCATTTATAAAACTCTTTGCATCACAGCTTTAGGCTGAGAAAAAAGCTGCTTTTATTTGGTTAATATCCTGACTCATCACAGGAATGCTATCATAGCTCCCAGATGATGGATCCTCGTCTCCGGTGTCAACTTTTCAGTTCATTTGCTTTAAAAATGATAAATTTAAAAGTCTATTTTCTACCCTTTTGGCTTGATGCTTGTAGTGAGCTATGTTAATGTGTCTTCTGCAGCTTTACTGCCTTTTGTCTGATGGCCAACAAATCAGTCAACTGCTCACAGGTGCACAGGTTTACTCCTCCTTTGTTGTTCTGGTTACCAAAGATCAGCTGTTTGACAGAAGCAGACTTCTACTTTAATAGGAGCCTCAAGATGTGGAAGTAGCTCTGAAATGTTTAGCATTTTTTTAGCCTCATATTCAGACAAATCAGTTTAGGATTCTGGCAGTTTTATGGGTGACAAAGAAATAATAAAAAAAAAAAAGTATCAACAGCCCGCTTTGAAAAGGCCTGACGTAGGTCACGGTCCATGAGTGAGTGAGTTRTCCTCTGCTATCAGTGTCAGAGCAGCTGCGTGGGAGTAGCCTTGAAAGGGGAGGAGGAGGCTGATCTCAACCCCCCTCTGATAGAAACACAATGTCAGGGCCAGGAAGGCATGGACTGTCTGCATACACAAGAACAAGGAAAAGAGATATTTTGTCTTCAGGTATTCGAAGAACTTACCCTCTGAGAGAAACTTGACGTTTTCCTCGTGCGTGGGAGAGAAAGTCTCTTCATGTCGACTGTCTGCAGGGACAGGTGGAGCTGGGTGATGGTGCTTCTTTCCATTCAGACGGTTAAAAACTATCTTTGGTGCAGGAAGGCTGTCAGGCGGAAAGAGAAATAAGTTCAGTTTATAGAGAAACAGCATGTTTCTACAGCAGGAAACCAGTGACAGCTTACATTGATATTGAAAAAGAGATTTGACATTGAAAAATGAAACACTGAAAAATTAAACATTAAAAAATGAAACACTGAAAAATTAAACATTAAAAAAATGAAACACTGAAAAATTAAACATTAAAAAAATGAAACACTGAAAAAAAAACATTGAAAAGATTTTGGTATTTTAAAGTTACAATGCCAAAATATTTTCAATGTTTCGTTTTTCAATATTTCAAGCTGGCACTGTTTCAGTTCAAGTAATGCTCCTCCACCACAGGTGAAGCACTTGTTTTTATGATCATTATCATTATTAAATATATAAACATACAAGTGATTTAGTTTTACTTTTAAAATAAGGTTTTAAGTTAAATATTTACATATTTAGCCTACTTCATTTTATGGACCCAAGGGTAAAGTGTTTTTTTAACTGTCTTGCTCCAAAAATAATGCATAAACTAGTAATCTACTAGTAATCATTGGTAATACCTACATCAAAAGTATTCTACTCTGCATTATATATATATATATATATATATCTTTTCAGTATCAGTGTAAGCTGTCACTGGTTCAACTCCATACCCTTTGAACCTAAGTTTTAGCAAGGTTGGTTGGGCAGAGATTACAACAGCTGTCAACAAAGGACCACGTGCTTTTACAAGGTCACACAGGAACACACATTCAGGGCCAGCCTGGCTGCCTCAAAGTCACAAATACAAGGAAGCAGAGTGTGTTAGAATCAGTGAGATCAGTAATGTAAAGTTCATCAGTTTTTTTTTTAAACAAAACAAAAAGGCAGTACTCAACTTTTAGGATCTGGTCTTTTACTTTGAAAAGCGCACACTTACTCAGGCATGTTCCAGGAGGTTTGATTGTGCTTGAACTCATTTATTTTGCTGTCCAGTTGATGAGTAGGTCCTGCAAAAACAAACCAAAGTTGTCCAGCAAGGTGAGTGACAACCTGAGGGGATGTGCCAGAAAACAAAGTGGGCGCAGAGACTCACCTGTCCGTCGCTGTGTGACCAGTTTGCTGGGACCTCTGGTGATTGTGTACATCATTCACAGGCACCTCCACCCGTGCACCGGGCAGTTTGGCACTTTGTGGGGTGGTGGTTTAAGGGAAACACATTCCCTCCAATTGCCCAGAAGAAATGTAGCTCAGTCAGATTTAATCTCAGTCTTCAAGTTGCAGGTAGGAGCTGCAGCTTTCCTCTGCCTCTGTGCGTAAAACCCAAGAGCCGTGACGCAACCCAGGCCACCTTCGCGCCTTCACCTGCCGCCTTCTCTCAGCAGGTAACTTCTGTCCCCTCGTTGCGCAGGTGTCCTCATGTCCCGTTACACAAAGTCACCCAGACACGGTACAAACTGTTCACGAGGCTGCGTAGTGCGTACGCACAGCAGATGCGTCTTGACGTGCTCCAATATGGCCACGCCTCCTGCTGTTTATTAAAGAGACAGCGCGCCCCGACAGATCACACGCTTTTCTCTTTAGTTTTGTTTCACTTATGAGATTTTTTAATAGGTTCTTTTACAGTTAACATGCAGAGGAATGATTTCTTGTTTGACTCATTTTCAACACAATCATGTAAAATAAATGAAATCCTCTTATTTCTCTAAAGGGGCCCCATCTTATCTGTTAACGGTTTATATATTTACAAAACACAGAGGAGCTGAGGAGCAGGGAAAAAGGTTACACACAACTCTAATGTTCAGCAAGGGCGGAGTGGGTAATCGGGACAATCGGCACGAATCCCGCTGGGAGTAATGGGCCAGTCCGATGGGCTCAGTTAGTACGGGGATGATAGGACGAAAAAAAAAAAAAAAAAA